TGTGACTGTAGCTCAGCTGCTTCAAGGTTCAATGTGTTGTGTGTTCAGAGATGCTCTTCTGCATACCTCAGATGTAACAAGTGGTACATTTGAGTTACTCTTGTCTTTATATCAGCTTGAACCAGTCTGCCATTCTCCTCTGACCTCTGACATCAGCAAGGTATTCTTGCCCAGGCTCACTGGATATTTTCACTTTTTCAGACCATTCTCTGTAAACCCTAGAGATGGTTGTGTATGAAAATCCCAGTAGATCAGCAGTTTCTGAAATACTCAAACCAGCCCATCTGACCAACAACCATGCCATGTATAAAATCACTTAAATAACCTTTTATGTAATTAAAAAAAATAATTTAATGTCATTTTAACCATTTTTTAAAACCTGACCAAAATAATGGAAACATTTACCCAGAACCACTTCTAGAACCGAATGGAGTCCTAAAAAATGTGTCCTGACCTGATTAGAGCAGTACAGCAGGCCTGTGTGACACATCGCACTGATTGGGCAGTAATGACATGACAAAGTAGTGATATGAAAACATTTTTGTATTACTTCCCACCTGCATCACTCTGCTCATTTCTTGAAAGACAGCAGAAGTAGACAGCGTGCTACAGTGCTGCATTTTCATTGTATGCGAAAGAGTACATAAAGTTTAAAAATCTGAAATATTACATTTTTAACATTACCTAACCCCCATGGAATAACACATATACTTTGGAAAATTACATTTGAATGCGTATTCTGAGACCAAGTAATAAACTCAATATATGAATAAAACATACATATGTGGTATCCCAGATAATCAAAACAAAATTGGCTGGGTAATAAATATGATTTGAATTTGAAGAAAATTACTTATTTTTTAACTATTTTGTTTTTATCCCCTAAACAATTAATATAAATTAAAATGTTAATTTTGAATAGTGCCTATTAAATACAACCATGCCCCTAAAAAACAACTTTATTGTTGCACTTTGTTGTATTGTTACACAAAGTAGTTACATTATCAAGAGATAAATCTACACAACTGACATAGAGTCCATAACCTGCAACAAGAATGCAGAGCAGGAGCTCAGTCTTCACTGGCTCTTCTAGGTAAGTGATCCTCTAAGTAGTGAAGCAATGATGAGGATGACAGTCCCAGAGCCTGCACCTTTAGAGTGACCCTGCCACCACAGGGTCACTTGTATTAAAGCCCAACCTGTAAAAGAAGAGGCTGTATACTGACCTTTCTAGCACCATGTGTGTTGAAAAGCCGCTGCTTTGCTTCTCTCTGCTCAGGTCAGGTATTCCACAGTTTTGGGTGTGCAGAATACCTGCCCCTCACTCCGCACACTGTGGTCACTCTTGCCAGCTCGTATGTCACTACAGAATGTATGAGATACTAGGAGAAACCAGTATATATACTGGTTATTTATAGAGTTTACAGACCGATGACTGTATACATGTAAACACCTAATACTGCATAACCTCATGTTTCAAACCATCCAAACCTGACTGCTCTAGGAATACTTCATAGATAACAAAGTGTCTGATTCCAATTAGGAATAAACACAGAGATTTTTTAGGTAATCAGTACTACAAATACAGTATATTGGAAAAGTATGTGCACACTTGAATGGCAAAAATGGAACAAGGTTATGAATTCTGTATTGTGTTTAAATAGCTCTGTAAATGGATGAAACCACTAACATAACAATTAATGAAAAGTGTCTGTGTGATATGTTAAGCTGTCAGTAGGCAGGCAGATGTTTCACTGAGGATGATGGGCTGGTGAGACATCTGCCTGTCTTCCTCAATAGAAACCATTGCAATAAAGCTTGCAATTCATCTGATAAGCACTGCATTGATGGTTAAACACTTACTGCTCTTTGTTCACTGAGAAAAGGTAGGTATTAGCCTAATCACATAGAAATAATAATAATTATTATTATTAATATTATACAGATTTTTATTGCAACAACAGTTTGCGCAGTGCTTTATAAAGGGAGACAGTACAGCTACAATATATATATATATTTTCCAGAAAACCTTGTGTTGATAGAAAGAAAAAGTGCAAAGAAGGTGATAGCACTTTATGTTTCAAAGAGCTGGAATTTAAAGGTCACGGAAAGCTACAGCACTCTCCATGATGCCAGATAATCAATTTTTAAATATATAACTGGTAAACTTTGAAGTTCTCATCTAATTCCAGAAACCTGTGCTTTACATAGTGAAAGCTGAAACCCCAAATGAACTTGAAAGGAAAATTAGAAGATCAATTTATTTTCCTAATAGTTTGTATTTTAAGCTGGATACCTATACAGTAGTTACAGTATTTATTATCATTTTGCATCTCAAATTGTGATTCTTATATTTCAAATTATTTATATTATGCTCACCATAGACACTGCAATCTGACCATAAAATCTTTGTATACTTAACTTTATATTTAACAAAACTTTGCAATATGAAGACCTACCTAAACTATCCAAACATGTTCAATGTATTCATGCAGGTCCTTGCACTATACTGTAGTTGCTGGTTGAACTAAAGGAGATTGCACAGAGTGTAGCAGGTGTGGTAAGCATTAGGACAGCAAGTGTTACTGAGCCATTCATTTCTATGGAAATGGTAAATTTTTTAATCCTCCCTCCCAAAAAAGGGGATCCTTACAGAATCAAATAGGAGTAATGTAATCCCTGATAATATAAGGATCCCAGTCTGGTCTCAAGTGCTATTCATTCTAGTGAGCAACAGAGATGTTTGAAAACAAGATACAATTTTACAATCCACAGCTGATTAAATGCTTGTTTGTGACCATGTTTCATGTTACACCCATAATAAGGCCCCATTCGCCTAACCTCCCACACTGAACCCACCCTCCCCCACTTAACTTAATTGAGTGGTTCTTCTTGAATCTGACTTTGGCACAGCCCCACGGGCTTCCTGCACAGCTGTGTAATCCATACATAGATTTGTTCACAGGAATCTGTGAATGCCACCGCGACACTTCCAAGAGACAGGATCCCATGATGTTTATGGGGTCTATTCACTAAGCAGTGTTTCTCTCCTGGGCTCCCAGCCACCCAGGAGAGAAACACTGCTGTGTCTTTTTTTTTCTTTATTCTGACACGGAGCGATGTCAGAATAGAGAAAAAAAAATTCCCATTGAAATACATTGCTACATTACTAGTGGCTATTTCAATTTGCAATAGCCAATAGTAAACTAGTATTGTATCCGCCCTCTGCTGATGGACCTGATGGAGAACTGCAGCAGAGGGCGGGTACAATGCTAGTTTACTATTGGCTATTGCAAATTGAAATAGCCAATAGTAATGTAGCAATGTATTTCAATGGGAATTTTTCTTTTTCTCTATTCTGACATCGCTTCGTGTCAGAATAAAGAAAAAGAAAGACACAGCAGTGTTTCTCTCCTGGGCGGCCGGGAGCAGGAGACTCCCAGTGCCCCAGGGAGAGTTAGCTGTTTGGAGATCAGTGTCCATGGTTAGCAGGTAACCAGGGACGCGGATCTCTCTGCAAGTGGCCGGAGCCAGCCATAAGATCATGGCTGGCTCCGCCCAGCTGTCAGAAGCAGGCTGTCGGCCGGCCAATGGCTGGCCGCTCGGCCAGCTTCGGCTTTCAGCACGGCTCAGCTGAGCCGATGCATATGCGTACGGCTCGACTAAGCCGCTCGGCCATGTTCGGAAGCTGTACGGGCTATTGTGAATAGCCCTACAGCACCCCTTTGGTTCTACTGAACCGAAGGGGTCCTGGGGCCGAAGCTAGCCGAAGGATCGGCCGAAGCTACGGCTAGATCCTTCGGCAGCTTCGTGAATAGACCCCTATGACTCCAGTAGATCAACGTTGCTTTGGTGTCTTTTTGTTTATTGAAATGGCTGCTTTCTTTCACTTCATGACTTGACTGGGGCTGCTGCATATGCAGTACAGTGCACAGCGTATTACATTTATATACTTTGATAATGATATAGCTGCATTTTTGTAATTATATTGTTGGGCGCTCTCTAATTCTAATGTTTGCAATGGGTTACTCCCAACACATGCAATGTTTAGATTTAGTTTGGGTGGTGCCTTCACACTGTAGGTGGACTGGAGAATGGCTAGTAATAAATGTGTCCACTGTCAGATTTTTTGTTGCTTTCATAAAGATGGGCTGTACCCCACCGAAATATCAGACACCCAAAAAATGTTTGTTGCTTTCTAGCAAATTATTAACATTGTCAGTGACAGTATTAGATTATAATTGTCCCTAATATAATTCAGTAAATTGTTTTGATAAACAAGATATTTTGTTTAAAAAAAACATGTTTTGATACAGCCAACTAATCTCCTAGGAGACAATAATAAAACTTGAATAAATCTGGAAGGTTTTATGGGTACAATTACATATTCTAAAAATACACATGACATATTTCTGGCTTAAATAACAACTAGAGAACTGGAAACTATGCGAATACTATGATTATAATGAGATCATGCAATAAAAGGTACACTTGATTGTTTTTTTTCTTGTACTAAAACATCTGGATGATTAAATTAGGCATTAGTCTGAATACTTGATGACAGCTACATTATTATAAAGTATGGTTATAAGGGGAAATTAGTGCAGACTTCAACAGAGCTTAAGTTGTACAGCAGAACTATAATCTATTAACAATCCTCTAAATTTGTTTACATGAATTCTTACTGCAGTAGCAATGGTGGCAGACTTCACTGATAAAGAAGAACTCTGTGGAAAAGTATTATTAACCTTTGCAGTTGAGATACATCCACACTGCAAGGGTTAAGTGCTCATTTTGGTCTAGGGCTGACATAAACAAAGTTATACTCACCCAATCCTTGGATATGGCCAGCTGTGACAGTGCTCCCTTCAGCCTGTCTCCTCCTCTGCTGCAGCAATAGACTGTCCTTTGGTGTCTTCATGCTCTATACACTTTATAGAACTTGATGATTTACAACACCTTAGACCGCTGCAGTGGAGAGGGAGAGAGGCTACACCGACCGCTAAGAGCAAGCCAGCGCAGAGGATCAGATGAGTATAACTTTTTTATTTTCCTCCTTAGACACAAACAAGGGTTTATAAATTTTCCCTGTTGTTTTTCTACAATGTCTGTCATGTATGGTTCATAGATGGCCTCACGCCACTTTGTATACTGGAATAGTCAAAAGCTCTTTATACTGTTTTGAAAAAAATTCTTACCTTAGTAATATAAATTCAGCTAAAATATGAACATATGACTTTTAAAAAGATGATATTAGACGTGTAATTTCATTTAGTTCCAAATGCGAATTTGGATGAAATTTCATGGATTTGGACGAATCTGAACGTCCAAATTCCAATAAGACCTAATGAAAAGAATCCGAATATTCTTTTAGCGAAATTTCAGATCATCTGAATTTCATTCCAGACGAAAATAATTTGGACACGTTACTGTTTTCTGGCCAATCAGAAAACCCCATCCAAAACTAATACGAAATTCCTAAAGATCCGAATCTGAATAACAAAGAAACTAAACACATTTTTTGTCGGCTTACATGCATAGATGATATTCATGAAAAAAAAATAATGTCAAATAAATGGCTATAAAAAATACAAGTAATACAGTATATACGGATTAAAACATGTTTCACTTAAATATAGTCATTGATTTTTGTAATAGCCATCATATTAAGCACCATTTTCAATGTTCTTTTTGTCAGGTTTGAAGGGTAAATGAATCCCTTTTCAGGTGTGTTATTGGATTTTTTTTGGAATAAACAAATATATTTGCACCCTGTACTACTTACCCTTATTTTTAATACTACAGCAGGGACTCTTTTTTTTTATTTTGCACCAAAAGCTGTAAGATATATTGACACTCTGTAAGCTGCTGTACACAGTAGTTCAGTGTAATCCTTGGTGCATTTATAAGCAATGGCCATAGTAGACTTCTGATGTGTCTTGTGAAGAATGTCTTGACAATTCACACACTGGGGAGTACAGAGGTTAAGAGTGTTACATTCTGAAACATCAGCACTATGAATTTTTTCCATCCCCACAACAAATAAACTATTACTCCATCATGGTAATATATGAATGAACTATAAAGCTACCTTCAAGTACACATAGCACCATGGGACCATATTTAAGGGTGAATGCCATCTATATACATGCTAAAGTGTATTTATCAAAGTAATATGCCAGGTAGCCTGCATTTTTCTATGTTTTCCATGTCCCTTCATTTTGTTTTGATAAATATAACCTGTAGGGCTTATAATTATCCCAATCATTTTCAAGTAAAATGTTTTTAAAAAACAGTATTTTTGCATGCACATGACTAGGTGATGGAAGTCCTTAGAGCTTCACCTCATTCACTAAACTAAGGGGAAACATCCCCTTCAAAGTACAAATCCCCTTGCTACGTGAACAGGCTATTTGACAATAGAACAAAAACCCCAATAAGTTGAATGTGTATTTGCACCAAGAACTCCACCCCATAGCCAAGCCAGTGCTAGTTGTCTGCTGTATATCATATGGGTGAAACACTTTGCTTTACCTTTGTGAAAACAGTTAAAGGCCTATTTATACAGCAGTGAATGTGAGAGTAACCAAATATTCACTGCAGGTGACTCTCTGTGGTGTGTTTTAAATGACAGGAAATGATTGACCACCTGAGAATGTTTGGTGAATGAAACTTTGACTGCATAATTTATATATACTCCTTAGTCTGCTGAATAATGTAATGTGTAATAAATTGTAAATATAACATATTTATTTTCTTGTATATTTAATTTTTTATCTTTTGATATATTTTGAAAGCCTATCAATACATAATTTTTAGAATTCAACGTCTACACAAATGCTCCATAAGCCATGCTAATTTAATGTTCCTTAAAACAACCTTTCCAATTTCTTTAACCATTATTTTCGGAAATTGATTTTTCATTGACAGTGGTATTCTGTAGACAAGACTTCCCAGAACGCTCATCACCCTGATCATGTATTTGGTTTTCTACTTTTTCAAGAAGTCTATACATACTGTAGATTTAGGTAAAATTGTAGATATCCCCAGGAAAGGCTTTTAGTGAAGTGAGAGTTATCTATGGTGTTATTTCTTGCAAGATTTAGTACTGTAGAAATACTATTTTATATTTTTTATTATTAGTTACAGGTATTTATATAGCACCGACAATTCACACCAGTAAATTACATTCACACCAGTCCCTGCCCTCAAGGATCTTACAATCTAAGGTCCCTATCTTACATGCATACATACAAGGGCCAATTTAAACAGGAGCCAATCAACCTACCAGCATGTCTTTGGAGTGTGGGAGGAAACCAGAGTACCTGTAGGAAACAGTAGGGAGAACATGCAAACTCCTTACAGATAGTGCCGCAAGACAGAAGCACTAACCACTATGCCACTGTGCTGCCTAATACTAGTGGTGTAATTTTCTTTTAAAAAAACAGTTACAATAATCACATGATTATTGTAGGCAGGCCCTTCCACATAGCACTCATTTTCAGGCAGTACAGGTGCCTGCATGAATTCTTTTCTCACATATGTGACCCCCACAGATTATGAAAGAAGCACTAAGATTTTATGGAGGCATTGTGACCCTTATCTTTTCCTTTCTCTTCTGCTCCCTACTGGCCAGCGTGGTTACCTAGGCAACGGCAACAGAATATGAAGGTGAACCAGTCGTCTCCCTCTGGGCCAAAGCTGCAGGGGTTAGGAGAGAATGAATTTGATGGTCATCTGTCTTTGTTTAACCTTATTGATTATGAAACTATGTCCATCTCACTTCTCTTTACCTTATTTCACACTTTAGTATGCCAAATTTATTGTTTAAGAACATCTCCACAGCTTTAAATCTTTTGTGATACAGAACTTCAGAGAAAAGACCATTATAGTTTGCATTACTGTTAACATTCTGTAAATCTCAACAATTATGAATGATTTATTAGCATTACATTTTGTACCATTCAGTGCTAAGTACTGCTTAAAGTTTAGCCTAAACATGATTTACATAATAATTCTATTCACTGCTGAATAAAATGCAGCAGTGAATAGAATTATGTAAACCCTATTTAGGCTAAACTAAAAGCAGTACTTAGCATTGAATGATATAAAGTATAGTTTGCCTGTACAAAAAAAACTTTGAATAACTTTTTTTATGATATTATCCTTGTATATAGTTTATTGTAATTGAAAATGTATCTCTGCAAAACATAAAATATAATTTGCAGAGGGTAATTACATCATATTACATGTTGAGAAAATCCACCCTGACTCACATCCCACAGGTATTGTGCTTTAAACATATTTAATTAGGGAAATGCTACACATCCATGAAACATTGTCTGCACTAAGTAGGGCATACCATGGAGTATTATCACACAGCAGAGATGTTTGCTTGACTAGTTTCTCCTTAGCACAATTACTTAACTTTCGTTCCTTGACACAAAACAAGGCTGTGATGTTTCAGCTGGGGAACATTCTGTTCTAGATGTGTACCTGACAACACTCAGTGGCAGATGTTCAATATAATCCCTGTTTATTTAGTGCACTCAGGGGAAGCAAAGAAAGATCTGAAAATACTTTAATTGTCCTTCCGGTTTCTCAACCGACCCATGCAGATTTATAAATTCTTCATGTGTGGGATTCCATACAGATAATGCTCCATTGACAAGCCTTCTGGCACCCTACTTTACATATTTAGTCTTCTTTTGAAAAAAAAAATATTTAATGAAATGTTATTTATCTACAAATAATAAACATGTGCATCCAAAAGACATATGGAAACCTGACTAATCTGGACTTGGAATAAGAATAAGGTGAATATGCTGAAAAAGGGGGACTTGGACTAAAATTCTATATACACATATACACTCTGTATACATATATATTTAATATTTAATTTATATTTAATTTCAGTGCCAGTATGGATGGAAACACAGATATGTTAACAGGAATAAGTATGATATGGCAGCATTAAAATCTTCTAAGGTTTCAGACATCACTCATAACACTGAAGCTCTGTTTGACATATGTGCTGCCTGAAGTTTGTCATTTTTTTTCTCACCTACAGGACACCTGGCATTAGATGGGAAAATATAAATACTGCAGAACACTGCTGATACCAAATCAGCAGATGGAAAGCATCAACTTATCCACCCCATTCTAATGATTTGGCTATTTCCTATATCTAAAATACATGAATAGATATGTATGCATTTGTATAGGGATAGTCTTGTCCTTTATTAATATAAAGCAACATATATCACAAGCCCATGCTTCAGGACCTTGGAGGATCCCTTTCTGTAATTAAAGGAGAATTATGAGGCAAGTGATTTTCACTCAGCCTCATAATCTGAGCCGACCTGTGACAATGAAACTGTCACAGGTCGGCTCAGTCGATTGGGAAGTGAGCGAACACATACCGTCGCTCGCTCACTTCTCGATCTATCCCTGCAGAGAGCCGTGACTGTGACTCACGGCTCCCTGCAGCTGGCAGAGCCAGCTGTCACACACGCAGCTGGGTGGATCCAGACAGCATTGTCGGGATCCGTTCCGGCTGCGGCGTCTCAGTATACCGCGAGCTGTAGCTTGCGGTATACTGAGCTTTGGGTGACGGGAGGACGCTAGTTTTTGTTTCCTTGTTTACCCTTAGGAGAACTATGGGGAAAAGCCCTACCCCCATAGTTCTCCTTTAAAGGGACCCTGCGAGGTCCCAAACGGTAATCTTGTGATGCAGAATTGCTTTATGTGCATTAATAACAAGACTATACTTATACTGTACCAAGGTGTCCTGGTAAGGATTCTTATTTCCTTATGATTATATGGTGGCATGATCCACCATCTCCCTAAAGTATCGTGCATTAACTGTGGGCAATCCTGTAAGGTGTGCAATTGATACAATACAACTTCTGAGAGATACAGTACAGCCTGGTGTCAGTCTGCATTAGCCACCAATGTATTGAAATTGGTCCCATGTAAAAGCTCCCTTCCCCTCCCCAAATGCTGAAGGAA